AGACATGAGCCCTAAACCCCTTAGGAATATATTCATAACAGGACTCACGCCGTAATGTAGATAGTACCATTTGGCAGGAATACGCCCATTTATCTCTCTCAGTTCGTTGTTATGAGTGGCAGGCAGTATGCTTGCATAATATGTCTGCAGTATTTCGTCTATTTTGTTGAAAGTAGAGTTTATACTCTTTCAGCGAGTTGCGAGTTTGTATGTATTTGATGAAACGATACAGAAATCGGCAACAAGTCTATGATATTGATATCGTTAAATCTATTTATGGTCTGCACGATAATTCCACGTTTATGAACGTTCCTTGTATGTCGTGCTGAGGAAGAAATGACGTATGGATATTCGAATGTTGCCGAATTTTCACCGCTGAAATATCTATTTTTAGGAGTACTCGCGAATATTTTATCCCTAAATTTTCGAATACTCTAGATCCAATTGTTAATCAAATTCTCCAGAAAATTTGAAACAAAATACTCAAAATTTTCACCGTTTAGTCCTATTTTATCATTAAAAAGTTGGCAAAGTTTGGAGGCTCAAATGGTGTTTTTCTTTGTGCGGCAGCATACCAGTGGCGTGGCGTGAATTGCGATGTATCGATTGTAATGCCATTTAAAGCTATGGTAAAGAATCGATTATTAAGGTGTTCGCTGCCAACACCCTGTTTATCGATCCTTTTCCATAGGTTTAAATGGCATAACAATCGATATATCGCAAAGCACGCCACGCCACGGCAGCATACCCTTGCTCGGAAAGTTATGGCCGCAACCACAGAACACCAACCAGAGCACCACGTGCAGCACAAAATTCTTGCCTGACCGATTACATTCGTTGGGCAGAAAGGCTAAGAGGTCGACGAAAAAGGACACTTTTGTTTGGCCTTTGATCATTCATTGGAACATAGGTGGACAATTCGAAATGCCTTGCGGGATGATGCAAGTGAGTATCAGTGGCGAAGCGCGGATGATCAACTATCGATATTTCCCCGTTTGAAGTCATGGTAAAGAATCGATTATTAAGGTGTTCATTGCGAACATCCTGTTTATCGATCCTATTCCATGGGTTTAAATGGCGGATCAATCGATATATCGCGAAGTACTCCACGCCACTGGTGAGTCGAAACAACTGTGAATCTATGAGGGTGAAAAATTGCTTGGAAAAGTGAAGCTTTTATGAATAACCACCTCACTGTTTTCACCAAGGACTCAAAAACGGAATTTCCTGGCTCGACTCTTTTAGAATGACCGCTTTTAATCTTTGCGATGCTGGAGTTGAATCGGTCAGTCTCAAAAAGACTTAAACGCCAATTATGAATATACGAAAAAATCGGTAAAAACTGCAATAAATGATCCGTTTTAAATCGTAGATTAATTAAAAATGTTACTATTCAATTCATTGCTTTAATATTTTGGAGCTCTGAGATTTAGAAAGGGTCGCTTTACCGTTTCCTCGAAGATCCATTTTTGGCGCTTGAGTCGTTTCGAGCATGACCTATTCAACTCTGTCGTGCTAAGGAAAAACGCCATATTAACATTCGAGAGTTGCCAAATTTCCTTCGATAAGATGTTTATTTTTGAGGCAAGTTATGAATACTTCTTCTTGAAATTTTCACAAGCTTTAGGCGAAATTGCGAGCAAACTTACCTGAAAAATTCGCATAGGAAAATATTCCCAAGTTTATCAGATATTCTTGCTTTTTCAAAGATACTCTGGGAACGCCTAAAGGTTCATACGACGTTTCTCCTTTGCGCACGGCAGAATTAGTGTTGATTGTTCCGGACATATAGGGTCATGTGAGAGAACTAAACGCCTGAAGGTTCATACGGCGTTTCTCCTTAGCGCACGGCAGAATTAGTGTTGATTGTTCCGGACATATAGGGTCATGTGAGAGAACTAGTCGGTTATTGCGAGAGCTCATCGAACGCGGAACGCCAAGATATTAACGAATCTCCTGTTTTTGTGTCATTTAATATGAAATCCCTGCTCTAATACTGTCTCACCGTGCCCTCGGGCTTAAAAAAGTGTGATTCCTCCGTCCCTGTCCGTACATTCTATTGCTCATCGCCACCTTTGAAAAATGTCGGGACTATTTTATATCACAGACTAGCCAGCAGGCTGATCACAGAAATTATTAGACAAATCAGTAGATGAAAAAGACGACTGTAAAACGGAGCGATCCTATCAGTTGAAACGGGTGGTTGCTGTAAATTAAGTGGAAAAATAATGGACTAACTATAATGTCTCTTGACTTGTTGGTTTGTCCATTGCAACGATCCACTTCCACATATAGAAATAGGATCATGCCATCGATTCCAAAAATCAGCACGCAGACTCTGACAGATTTGCTGGGAAGTACAAAAATATTTTATGTGCACGAGTTGACCCTTTTTCTTCTTTTTTTTTAGGTAACGTAAAATTTCCGCTGAAAAGAAAGTTTCTTAGAAAAATTAGCATAAAAATTTTGTCAAACTCTAAAAACCACTGACATTGAAGCTCAGCACGAAATAAACGGCAAAATATGCAACATAAAAACTTAACTTCATGTGAAAGTTTAGTCAAAATTTACGAAACTAAAGTAATACTAGAACTTGTAAAAGTGCAAGGGTGGTACAATATTTTTACGTTTAAGAGAACAAAAATGACTTCCTGGCTCGGATGTTTTAATAGTTTTTAAGAGCTTTCTCTCTCAACTTAACAAAGTTTTGCAACTTTTTTTCCCAGCAGTCAATGCTACTTGGCTATGGTACAATGGTACCTGCATCGTATTCATATGCGTCAAGCACCTTATGTTACATAATTGAACCGAGTTTATCAGAAAAGAACCAACCCACATTTTCGAAAAAATTGAGTTAAGAACGATTTTGAGTTCCACCAGTCGTAAATTTACTCCTGCTAAAAACTAAGTCGAAAAACAGAAATTAGTCGGTGAAAAGAGGGGTTAAAGTTTGTTTTCTACATTGAGCCTAATGCAAGAATAAAACTTCAAATCCTTTTTCTCAGTTTCAACTTAATGCGGGTTGGTTCTTTCCTGATGAACTCGGTCCAATTATCACGTGCACAAAACGTATGCCACGTTATCCGAGAGTGCGTCTTACGTGGTTAATGATGAATGATTGAGCCCAGTGCCCCAGCGCATATGAATCACGATGTTAAAAATCAAAAGCGGATCTTACAAAAGAAGCACAAAAATTTACCCAGAAAACGACAAGAAAAAAGGCCCGAGATAAAATTTTCATGGTAAAATGATTTTCATTCAGAATGCGAATTTAAAATTCAGCCTTGTGAACTTCTCTTTGAGAGTCCTGTGCGTGATCGGATCATGGGACCAAGTATACTTTATAACACGGGAGTTTGTCGAACATAACGGAGAGGACAGCCGCAGGATAGGCTTTTTCCAAAGAATAACAGAACAATTTTTGGATGTTACAAAATTGAGGCATAAAACGCGACTGTATTCCGAAGAAAAAGCTTACTTTAGAAGCGTTATCGGTAGAACCTAATTTTGGGTTTTACTTTTTTACAATACGCCGAAATTTATCGATGCCACACGCATAAAGGGTATGATAAACCATACGCCTAGCTGGCTTTTGACCTAGATTGTCTTTCAAGTAAAGGTCATCACAGTTCTGGCAGTATTTAACGCACTTTTTCCATCGACAAATGCTAATAGGACTCTGATTACCTTCACCTCAAAGTCGACTAAGATACAAAATCTCCATACTTTTGCCCCAATACGGGTTCCAATAAAACATCTTGAAACTTTATATGATCTAGAAAAAAATATCATCTGAAAGTTTTGATGATAACGTCATTTGATCGCAATTTACCTAAGAGGAAAATGACGGAATAAAGACTGAAAGCATGAGTAAAGAAGGCTAAAATGTTAAAAGGACACAAAAACAGGACTTTCAGAGCCGCCACGAGCTCATTGACTCACGCGCCAATTTTAGGTACGAAAAAACCAATACAAATTGATACGAAAACTCAGTGGCAACACACACGTATTTTAAATTTTTCAGTTATTTTTTTTATCATAAGAAATGGTTTCGGACTTTCAACTAAACTCTTTTTTATCGTAACTAATGTGATTGATGGAGAAACCTAGGGAATACGATGCATGCATTCAAATATAGTGCACTATATTTGGAGTGGTGACGCATACACATTTTTATCAATTTGTATTGTTTTGCAACTGAAAATTTGCCTACCACAGCTGAAAATGTCCTTCCGTTTTATTGTTTTTAACGTTTCAGCCTTGTTGACTTTTATTTTTTGCACGTTTTTCTTGCACCATGCCCTAATTTATTAGCTATGCAATTGGTGCATCTTCATGAGGAACTTTACTAATTTTCACCACCCAAATTTCAAAAAAAAGTCAAATTTCTTCAACTTCTACTCTCTCATGACCTATAATCTTTCTTTCCAAAATCAATCCAAACACTGGAGAAATGCATGGCAAATTTCACCAGAAGTATTACGGATTCTACCATTAGTCTATTTGATTTTTAACATAGTAATATAGAGTAAAGATAATCAGGCATATTGTGGCATTTACCATACTTTTGGTGAATGCGGTTTGAGTTATGGTCCTTTTTAGCGTGAAGTCTGTTGGTAATATTACCATACTCGTTACGGATCGCATTTACAAAAAAGGAACCAGAGCGATTACAGTGTTGTAATAATGTTCCTTTTTCATGATTATCTAATAAATTTCTTAGAGCAGCAAATTTTGTTTGCTTTCAACCAAAAAATTTTCAATTTTTAAAGGAAAATAATGGTGTAAATTGTAATACTGCACATTTTATGAGTATTTTTAAAAGAAAAGAGGAAGTTACGCAATTTTGAAATAACTGTAACTGCGCTGGCCCCTTTTTGGTAAATTCGATCCATATCGCTGCGCTCAAACCATAATGCTTTTTTTCAGTGAAGTCCCGGCGGAAAAATTTCGCTAGGTCATTTTATCTTGGGCCCTTTGAAAACGCAAGGGAGACTTACCATGTCAACATGAAAATCGGACGAGTAGAAAAGTGCGGATAGAAATAACGGATAAAAATAAAGGAAAACGGAGAAGAGAAATTAAAAGGAAGCTAGCCGCGAGAAGAGCGATCACTGTCCGAAGGGCATGGGTGCGAGCGGACGGCGGGTGCTGTATCGTGCGATCGGCGGAACTCCGCGAAATTTCGAAAAAAACTACGCCGAAAATCCCTGCGGCGGGCTCACATAGTTGGGGGTCGGCGCGTCTCCGGGCGAGCCTGTATTTGGGCGGCGAAACTTGGAGAGAGTGGCGGATGGCTAATAGTGAACTTTATATTTTGTCGGAGTCCCTGTACCTTCCGGCCGGAGCCCGCCCCTGGGAGGGCGTGGGGGGCGCGGGGTCCGTGCGTCGGAGGGCGAGGGGTGGGGGCGGGCCGTCGCGCGCAACAGGGTGGCAGGGATGCCGGCTTCATCAGGAGGAATCAGAGACCAGCACCCATGTCCTCAGCTATGCCATCCCATGTAATGCTATACTACCCGTAAAAAAGGAACGCCGCGCGGTGGATTGAGTCAATGGAAGAAGTCGGACAGAATTTGGAAACTTTAAAAGCTCATAACTCCGTTCATACACAGCTTCAAGGTTTTACAAGTGGTTCCATTGGATTTCTAGTGAAATTTTCTAATAGAGGCACCCCTTAAAATTTAAAATATGACGAATTTAACATCAAAATTTGCAGTCTTAGTGAAAAATTTCATGTCCGACATTTCTGATTGACTCGATCACCTGTGAGCCGTAAGAGCCTTTTGCCGTTGCCGAATTCATCTCTTCTTATCATTCCTCCTTCTCCTTCTTCTTCCTGGGCGAAGCTAGGATATTTTGCTGTGAAGGGCCTGACCCCACTATCAGCGAGAGATCTGGGGGAGGAGGGGAGGGAGTATGAAAACCTCCCCAGCCCAACCAAGTTCGGGGGATATTTTTTGAAATTTTAACTCTATTTGGACCCATTTCAAGGCCTCCGTAATGCAAATTTTCCATCAACATCTGCACATAAACTACGCTGCTTTAATTATTTTTGGCTTAATGTACTTTCGAATCGTTACAAATAATTACACTGGGACAGAGAGTTATCGTTGATGAAGTCGTGCAGAATATCCNGGGGGGGGGGGGGGGGGGTGCAGATGATACTGATGCACAGGGTCACTCAATTTAAAACACAGATGAATCCAAGGCGGCAGAAACTGGCAGAAAGGCTGAAACACCACGATATATAACTTTCTACGTCGTATTTTTTAAGGGCGATATCTTCGTAACTATCAGACGGAGGAACTCAGCGTTTGGATGGATCATATTATTTTTTGCGAGTCTTTAAGCATAAATCTGTGAATAGCGCAATGGGTTCATTATGAGCCCGAATGTGGTGAGTTAGAGGTTCAAATAGGTTTTATTTAAAACCACGTCCTTTGACCGGTGAGCTTCAAATCGTTATAATTCCATTTCAGTTTAAAATTTTCCGGAATTTTTTTAGTCAAAATCTTATGAGACACTTATCCTAATAATGGTATGAAAATTCGATGTAAAATTTGTGTGGCTCAGCCATATACGATTTACACTTTAGACGGATACCTCTTTTACCGTAGATGGTCTCACTTCGATACTAATGGAAGGGACAGAAAGTTGTATAGAGAGAGATGAATGAGTCTTCCAGAACTGGGCTAAGAAAAATCTCTGCCTCATTTAGAGGACAGTTTCTCTCTAATTTCCTCCCCCTTTTCTTCTAACTCTGATACAACAACTGCGTCATGCTCCCTCTCACACCAACTCAGACAGTAATACGAACTTCCTCACCCAAAATGCATTTTCAAGTTCAAAGCGAGTCAAATTTCATTCGCTAACCTTACCTTCCTTTTTCCCATTAGAAATATTTTCATGGTATTCGAGGCGTGAAATATTAAAATACAATAATGAAAGCGAGTAGGTACAAAGCGTGGTGTTATACTTTGTTAACTGCTGCGGAATCGCTCGAATCTACAAATAAAGAGGCTTGCACGATTTTTATTCACTTCGTTTTTATACACCCAATTTTTTGTGTGTTCATGAGCTTTCATGCAACGATGCAGACTTCATAATGAACTAGCAAGCATGAATGCCCTTTGAGAATGCACTTTATGTTCTCTGTCATATTGCCGAGTACACAGATTTACTTTCCATGTCATTAACATCGGATTCTCGACTTCAGAATTTCTAAGAAGTTTTTTCGTCGCAATTGGATGTTGTCCCTTTTTTTGCTATCATGTCGAGGTAAGTTTCAAGGTCATACTTACAAAATGAATGCATGTATACATTGTGTCTCAAAAATTAATTTTATCATTTTCAGATTTTGTAAATTGCCAAATATGCTCTAACACAAATGTTCGATAAAGTCAAGAGGGTATATTCGTCTTAAAGGCCTCGTACCTGCACATACCTATTTTTGGAATATTTATTCCCCCCAAAAATTACTTTAATTAGGCAAAAATTACTTATTTATTAATTTTGATTCACATGATCTAGTAAGGCTCGGTATTATCATATCCGGTTAAAAATTGTCATCAGGTTAAAATTTGGGGTACACGGACTTTATGTCCACTTTTTTTACGTCCACAGACTTTTCGTCCACAATTTTTACGTCCACAGTTCTAAAGCACACACTATTGTTAAGTCCACTACTTAAACGTCCACTAAGTTAAGTCCACAAATGTAAAGTCCACTAAAATCAAATTCAAACGTCATATTTTAGTCCGTGTGTAAAATTATATTGTCAATATCGAAATGAGAAAATTAAGAGAGAATGAGGTGTTGTTATCGTAACTCATATTTTAAATGAAATGTTAATTTCTTCTTTTGATTCACCTTTTCAAATTGTCTTTGGTAAATACTTGGTTTCATTTCTATCCTTGAAATTTCCGATTTACAATATGCCTCAAATGAACATTCTTTTTTTTAAATGAAATTGATCACTTCATTTTAAAAACATTTACATTTTCAAAACGTGGTAAATATTTGTAAAACCTTTTCCAAGCAATGGCATCGATATGAATCTCAATAAGCCGTAGTTTTGATGAAAGAAACCATACAAAAATTAATAAAAGAGGAAAAAAACTAAGAAGCACGCAATTTAACAATTTTTTTTAAACTTATTTGCACATCGACCTCCTTGAGTCAAATACGTCCAATTTTGAGCTTTTGGTTGCGCTTACACCACGCTGCAGCACAGTAAAAGCCCAAAACATGAAAGAATAAATTTGAATGCTTTGGAAGTCATTCAATTTGATACGGAACCACTATTATATTTCCAAAAAACACATTATATTATCCAGTAGTACATATTTCTTTTTCATCAGTTTAAAAGGGAATAATCAATGCAGAGAGTGCAAACATTTCAAAATCATGAGTTGAAAAACGCTGACTCTGCGAGGTTAAATAATAGAACCTAACACAGAGCGGAGCGGCGTGTTAGCAGCGCATAACGCGCACTGGCACCTACAAACCTAACGGGATACTTCACGCATTGCGCAACGCGTGAAGTATCCTGTTAGGTTTGTAGGCGCCTATGCGCGTGTCACGCTGATTTCCCGCCGCTTTACGCTTTAAGCAACCATTTCGCGTCAGAGTCGTTGCACAGTATCCTACAAGATGAAGATTGAAATAACTAGTTAAAGAGGACTTTCGATTTTAACTGCATCTGTTACTGAAAAATGTTTAATTTGGCATTGGAGCGTTTCCTAGGCTCCCGCTTTGGTTTTCATCTTATCATATCCGTACAAAGTACTCATGAACATATGTTTTTATCTGCTTTTAGAGTCTGTTCTCTTTCATGACTTGATTCATGAATGAAATGTTTTTAGGAATGAAGGTAGTAGTAGTATGCAGTTATTTTTGAGGTGGTTCCTGTCATTTAAATGAGAAGAAAAAAATGTGGACATAACATGTCCACAATTTGGACAATTTTGGACATATTCATGGTTGGACATTAAATCATGTGGACTTAATAAAGACTGGACTTAACGTTTAGTGGACATAAATAGCGGTGGACATTTATTTAATGGACGAAAGGTAGGTGGACATAAAGTCCTGGAAGCAAATTTGGAAGACACTTCGAGTGCTTCCTAAATGTCAACCGGCGGTCAAGCTCTACGATTCAAAAAAAATCATTCAGACATTTCTACCGCATTTGCTCACCAAAAACGTCATTAACAATTTTACCCCGCCAAGAAGATACACTTGAAAAGAAGGGCAATTGAACTTGGCAAAAATAAAAAAAAATAAATCTGCATGTTTTGAGAAAATTTGCAGAACAATGGTTTCTTAATCTGAAAGGCATATGAAGCGGCAGGGTTCATTATGAGATGTGAAAAATGTTTCATACTTAAAACATAGTAAGTGACGTAAAATTACGGGAGATGAGGGGAGAAAGTTATTAGCCACAAAACATTTTTTTGCCTCAGCATTACCAGCCCGACTGCAGCTTTTGACGGAGGGCAGCTTTTGCCTGCACAGGCAAGCGTATATTCAATTATTCAAGCGCCTTGGCGCATTCATTGAAAAATTTCGCGGTGTTTCTTTTCGGTAAAATTAAAATATTGTGCTGCAAAAGGTGGATCGTCGGCACGATACAATAAATGGTAAACAACACAAAGAGACACATGAGACCTGGGCTAAATGTGTAAAGTAGTAACACTGAGGTAAAATATGGTATTTTCTATCAGAAGAGAGGTGATTTACAATGAGTTCACCAAAAAAATTGTAAATTCTACCAGATGTCTGATAATCTTTACCCTACAGTATTCTTGTGTCAAAAATCAAGACTCATGGTGTAGATTATCATACATACTCAAGAGCGAATTATGTCCGTCAGAGTTCTCCATCCAATTTATTATTATCCCCCTTAATTTACCATACTTCTCGTAAATAGTGTCAAACTTGTTTTAAACAGCAGTTTGACCAAACATCCGAGTTATTTACACTACCAGGTATCGTAAACACTAACGTTGAGCATTATTTCACAGTGCTCTCTGGCGCTCTGCGACACCTGATCGCCAGAGTTCTCCATCCAATGAATTATTATCCTCATTAATTTACCATAATTCTCGTAAAATGTGCCAAAATTGTTTTCAGAGTAATTGTTTTTGCTTTGAACAGTAGTTTGATCAAACCTCCGGATTATTTACACTACTGGGTATCGTAAACACTAATGTTGGACATTATTCCATAGTGCTCTCTGGGCGCTGTGCGACGCCTGATCGCCAGAGTTCTCCATTCAGTTAATTATTATTCTCATTAATTT